AGGATTAAGAAGCTCAGGTAACCTGGCTGATACCTGACCCAAAGAACCAATAAGGGGACAAGATACTTTCAAATCTTGGGGGAGGAGAGAGGAGGCTTTGGTTTTGTGCTCTTTGTTTTGTTGGGTGTTCGCCTTGGAACTAAGAGGGACCAGACATCAATCCATGCTCTCCAAATCTTTCTGAACAAGTCTTTCATATATAGTAAGTAATAGCCAGGCAAGGTGTATTAGTTTATCTTTGTTTTTCTCAACTTGTGAATGTTCCCTTTGCTAGAGGGAGGTATCCCTGTTTTGCTGTAACTTTGAAACTAAGGGTAGAGGGCGTTCCTCTGGGCTCTTTGAATCTAATTACCCTATAAAGTTATTTTCAATCCTGATTTTACAGAGATGATTTTTACCTTTTCTTTTTAATAAAATCCTTCTTTTAAAAACTTGACTGATTTTTCCATTGTCCAAAGACCAGGGGTTTGGGTCTTTGATCACTTTGTAACCAATTGGTTAGGATATTATTCTCAAGCCTCCCCAGGAAAGGGGCTGTAAGGGCTTGGGGGGATATTTTGGGGGAAGAGGAACTCCAAGTGGTCTTTTCCCTGTTTCTTGTTAAATCACTTGGTGGTGGCAGCGTACCAGGTTTTAACCTAAGCTGGTAGAAATAATCTTAGGGGGCTTTCATGCGGGTCCCCACATCTGTACCCTAGAGTTCAGAGTGGGGAAGAAACCCTGACACCCACGAAAGCTTATGCCCAAATAAATCTGTTGGTCTTTAAGGAGCCACCGGACTCTTTGTTGTTTTAGTGAAATAATGGAATGCCTTGGAGCAGAGGGAGAAAGTCAGACTGAAACTATTTTTAAGATTTATTCTTTTGTCTGAAGTGAATTTTGTCTCTGGGGATCTTAAGTATTATTGATTTGGCCTCCTTAAAATACAAGATTAGATTAGGTGCAAGGGACTTTTGCTTGTCTAGGGACTGTAGGATTGAGTTCTTAGACACAAATCTTTCCTATTTGTGCCAGCAGTGGAAATGCATTTTTCTATGTAGCGATGGGGATGGGTGGGCCAGGATTCCTTCCCTCAGAGTATATCGGAACCTAGCTCTATGAGGGCTCTATGTCCCCAGCACAGAGTTCACGGATGGGGTTGGTGGATCCTTGACTATACAAATCAAATCAAAAGGCCATGCTACCCCACAGAGGGGCTGGGACTGGGGCTGTGGAGGCATGAAAAGGTTATGCTGTTTCTCTTCAGCCTTGTGAGGGGAAATTCTGCCCCACCCTACATCTCATTTCTGGAGGAGTCACCTGCACTAAATCCAGTTACTCAGGCTTGAAATGAAGGATAGGATTTGCCCCTAAATGAAAAGGATAGGATTTGCAGTTTAATTCAATAGGAATTTTGGATGCATAAAGCATTCTGGAGGATCAAGCCATTAATGTAATGACTTAGTGAGTGATGCTAACATCTGTCCTCTGTCTCACCTTAGTTTGATTTTTCAACCCATTTCTTTTCAGCATTTGTTGCTTGTAATATATTTGGCAAAATTCCATTCAGTTACACTGGTGTGAATCCAGAACAACGTTGCCGAAGTCAGTGCAATTCCTTTGGATTTGCCACAATGTAAATAAGACTACATTTGTTCCCAATGTTGTATGTAAAGATATGCTCCCACTTTTTCATTTTCACTCCCACATTATTTCCTCTTATAGATATTTTCCATAGGGAGTGATACTTTGAGTCTTTATTTTTTATTTGTATTGTTCCCTTTTTCTTTTTAATTATGAGTTTCTCTTGTTGATGTGGATTGGTGTCTATGCAATGGAAAAATAATAGTGTATAAATAAACAATAAAGAAAACCCTTCTACTGGTGAAATAGGACAACACCTCTTGATAAACCTCTTTTAGTCCATATGCAATACTTTAAAGATAAGTTGCCAATTAGCTTTTTAACAAATTAGTTCTTGGCAAAACAAAAACAAAACCTCACCTCCAAGGTTTTGTTTATTACTGCTATAATGTAAAGAGCTAAATAATTATGCCATTAATCACTTTGGCAGAAGCTACACTTTAATAAAAATATCATTGTATAAATTGACCTCCTTGTTCTAAAAAAATTGACTATAGAGCAAGGGCGGATTAGGGTTTTGTGGGGTCCCTGGACCACAGCAAGTGGGGGGCCCCTCCCCACTCCTTCTGCCTTCAGTCCCCTGCTTCCCCTTCCCGGCGCTTCTGTCGGGGAAATGGGGTTGGGGTGCGGAGGTTTGCCCTGGTGCTCCAGCAGGGGAGTTGTGTCGGGATGCGGGGACTGCAGGAGCACCGGGTAGGCAGGAGGAGCTGGGCAAGCCCCCACCTCCCAGCAGGAGCACCGGGCAGGCGGAGCGGGTTGAGGTGCCAGGGGCGCCCATTTTTCTGCCCCCCCCCCCCAACTGGCCAGGGCCCTGGGCATGGACCCCTTTGGCCCAGTAGCTAATCCGACACTGCTATAGAGGGAGAAACACAGAGGTAAAAATATACCAGTCCGTGTCAATGGAATGTGGATGAAACCTTGAGATCTTGATTTCTGGGGCTTTGATGTTTATGAAATAGCAAGAAATGATTGATTGATTTTTTTTTGTGTTCTAGCGGTTTACCTCTGCAAGCGAACAATGCAAAACAAAGCACGGCTGGAGCTAGCAGACTATGAAGCAGTAAGTACGTGGGCCTTTCCTGGAACTGAGATGTCAAATAAATGAGATTTCCAAGCTCAGCAGAATGTAGGATAACATTCGAAACAAAGGCCACAGCATTTTTATAGTGCAGTAGTTTATACATTGAGCAGTTTAAACTTGTGTCTAGACATGTGACAACTGGCACTCAAGTGCTAATATTTCAGAATCCATAAATGCTGTTGTACATGAGCGCCTGCTGTATTATATTAAACAATGAAGATTGGGTTGGTGCATTATGAATAGAGATAGAAACAAATCCCAAATGTTCCCATAGTTTTGGGGTGCTGGGATCCAGGTTGTTGGTGCAACAAGCCATAGAGAGGGGCCAGCTGCAAAGTTTGAATTCATATCTCCCCAAAGTTAAGGGGTGTTTGGGAACTAAGACTTGGGCCCATCTCTAATCTAATTGTGCACAGATCCTTTCCCCAGCATCAGGTGAACTGTTCACCAATCTCATGCAGTCGGAAACAAATATGTCCCAATGTTTGTCAGAACTGTACTACAGTGTTTAAGGCTTCCAATTATATATTTAAAGATCTAGCTTAAAATTTTCAAAAGGACTCAAGTAATGAAAAGTTAAGTCCCATTTTCAAAACTGACATAGACATGGCCAGATGTTAAAAGGTAATCACTGAAATCAATGGGAGTTAGGCACCTAAATACCTTTAGACAACTGGCCTTAAGTGTCTAAGACCCATATATTTTCAATGGGCTCTGAAGTCACTTTGGTGCTTTTGAAAATTGTACTCATAGTTTTAAAGATACTAGGCCAATTTTTGCCCTGCTGTAACTCTGCTAAAGCCAAAAGAGCTACAGCAGGATGAGTATGGCCCATGGTATCTTTATAAGATTATGTGGGTTATTGATGGGATTGTGAAGAGATATCCCTTTACTATTCTGCAGTAAATATATAATACAGTTGCAGTCCGATTATTTGATACCAAGTTCCCAGACATTTTTTAGTTAACCTCACTATAATTAACACAAAAAGGGGGCATTGAGAGAAATTGAGTACCTGAAACTCCCTTGAAGTCAGTAGACCAAATTATGCTTCCATTTACACTAATGAAAATCCAGAATAATTCTATTGCAACCAGTGGAGTTGCTCAAGATTTACCAGCATATCTGAGTGCAGAATTATGCCAAGTCTCATAAAAATATTATTAAATAATTTTCTATACAATAATAGACAGCTTTAGTCTGCAAACATTTTTTAAAAGTATATGACCAATTTTCTTTAGAAGAAGTTTGTATTCCCAAAATGTCTTTCTAATGTTCCAGCTACAGTCATCTCTGTACTAGACAACACAAACAGCTCATGTAGAAGACAAATGGAGGTTTTAGTGTGAATCAGTGGCAGTATCAAGCTAATGTCATTGCTACATTTCCAGAGCTGGCTAGGTTTAAAGTTGGAGCATTTCATTGAAAATTTGGAATAATCAACCAACCAACACACCCACAAATGTTGCTACTGGTATGTTTTTCTGGAAGTGCCAAACTCTGCAGCAACCACTGCAACTCACTAGAGCTGTGTCCAGACCTTTCAACAGAGTTCCAAACCTTAAAGAGATGGGGGCACAGATAATGTAGACTTTGTGGTCTATCCTGTACTGTGTCGGACACTTTCCACCAAATAAATAGACTACATTTACACTAGCCTGTGCATTATGGCTTTTGAGTGCAACATCATCTTTTGGAGGTTTTGAAGACAGTCTAAAAACTGTTAGATAGCGAATAACTTAAAGCACAGTTAAACTTGTTTATACTGTATTTTCAGGAGAGTTTGGCCAGGCTACAGCGATCATTTGCCAGGAAGTGGGAGTTTATTTTTATGCAAGCTGAAGCACAAGCAAAGTGAGTTCCTTTGAAGTTTTATTGCTGGATTTGTCATTGACTGTTTTTAGAGGCACTACAATTAATGTTGTTTGTCTTAAATGTACTGCAACATTGACAGAGTGGACAAGAAAAGAGACAAGATAGAAAGGAAAATCCTTGATAGCCAGGAGCGAGCATTTTGGGATGTACACAGACCGGTGGTAAGTAAACATGTGGAACTTCTGTTGATTGTAAGCGTTTCAAAAGATAAACATGACAATCCATGCAAAGCTGTGATTTGGGAGCAGGAGAGAGGAGCATCTGTCTTGTTTTGGGAGGACAGATCTGTTTGTGGTGGGGGCGGCATGTGGTCTATTCACATTTTTTCCACTCAAGCATCACAGATATACCCACGTTCAATGCTGTTTTTCTGGATATGGAGACATGGTGTGGTTGGATTTTTTTAAATCAGAAAAATGTATTTGAATCAGGTATTGCCAACTCAAAGCATTCAAAACTCATGAGACAGGACCCCAAAAATCAAGAGACTGGCTTAAAAATAAGTGATTTTTTTAAAATTACATTTTGGGTTCTTTTTATTTTGATTTCTGAGCCGTTAGGGTACATTTGGGTCATATTTTCAAGCTTTTCTCCACAACCATGAAGGCGAGCAATATACTTTTTAAAAAATGAAACCTGAAATTATAATGTAATCAGTTGATTTTTGGATGCTGGAGCTTGAAGAAAAATCACCAAATATCACAGAATCATGTTGGCAACACTGTATTTGGACCATTGAACAAAAAGCTCTCTCCTTCCTTTGCACATGAAGGGAAGCCTAACATCAATGCCAATTAAATAGAATACAGAGTGCAACTTGTACTGCTATCTATAAAAGGACATTGAGAGGCTAAAAATCCTACTTACAAAAATAAGAAGTTCTTAATTGTTAATAAAATTTTAGCTTACTACAACTGTAAGCATTTTAAAAATCTAACTAGCATTCCACTGATTACTTTTAGACAGTAAAATTAGAGTGGTAGTAGTGGTAGAGGAGTTGGAGAGGGTGTTATGAAGAATTTTCAAGGAGAATGAATGAGCTTGGAGAAGCACCAAAGACTCAAGTTGGATTTATTTGTTTGAGAGAGGATGTGGTGAGATTAGGGGAAAGAGGATTTATAATCAATGTTGAGTGGAGAAAGACATGGAAACTGTTACAGATGAGGAGCATAGCATAGGACAGCATTGGAGCAGTATTGTCCACCAACTGTGGAGGGGTAAGGAGGGAGGATAGAAAGATATTTGGCATTTGCTGTCCATAGGAATGAGCTAAAGAACAGAAAAAAGTATAGCGCTATGCAGAGAAAGGTGATTCTGTTTCATGGACCATTTCAATATTTTAAAAATTAGTTTTGTTTACATTTGGAATGAAAACCAACTCCACAAAAGGAAATGGAGCTCTGGTTCTAGGGCCGTCCCCCAGAAGCAGACCCTGGGAGCCCCATCTGATGAAGATCTGCAAACCTGAGAGCTTGGGAACCAGTACTCCCAGGCTCCCGGCTCCCCATCAGACTGCCTGGTGAGCTGCAAATGAGTCAGGAGCCTGGAAATGTAGGGACCCCAGCTAAGCAGGATAGCTTCCAGGGTCTTGGCTCCCTATCCACTGGGCTGCCAAAGAGTCAGGAGCTGGACAGATGAGCCAGTAGGAAGCCAGGCAGGAGGGGTTTCATCACAAGTTCACTGAAATTGAATATTTTCCATGAAAATAACTCTTTTATGATTGATCAGCCTTCCTTCAGGGAATTTCTGAGATGCTGTAAAAGATTAGGAGGAACTCTACAGGCTCAGGGAATCTTGCTATCTAAGAGAGACTTTTGCACTAGATTCTGAAATGGATGTAAAGATTTTGGAGACTGGCAAAGATTTGTTCCTATTTACAGGTCTGGATGGGGAGATGAGTCATTGAGGTTTGAAAAATAAAGATATAAAGAGACAATAAAGGAATAAATTACAGGAGCCAGGATGAGAGCAAACTAAGTCTGATAAAAGCTTTGTCTGAATCATCGTCACATATGCCTGTATGAGATGATGATTCTAATTTGACTGTAGACAGACCTAGGCGATATGCACAAAAGGATTTTGGGTCTAAATCAGAAATCTAAGTTCCTGACTGCCAAGATAGCGTGATGTTTGACTAGAAGATGGAGAGGGAAGCATTGAAGATTTGGCTAAGATGGCTTTTCTTTCCAGTGAGTAGGATAGTCGTTTTGGATACACTGAGTTGAATTCAGTCCTATCAGACTCAGAAGTAGATAAGTTTGATAGAAAGAGAAAATGAAGACATGGTTGAAATAGTGAAGGTGTTACAGATTTGTGTGTACAAGGGTTGGTAAAAAAATTCTTTGAAAAATGGCTTTTGGAATAAAAAGAAAATTTGCACAGGCAAGTCAATGAAATAGAACTGTATCCGATAATCAAAAATAATGTTATAGCTGATCATATCCACTACAGCCCTAAGATGAAGAAAAGTGATTCAGGGTCTGATGGGGAAAGATCATTTGATTTGCCACATAAAGGTTAAATAATGTCTTCAGCTCATGGTGGAACTCTCAGTGAGAGGTGTGTGCGTAGACCAAGGGGAGCACTCTGAAACCTACAGAAGTCTGGCTTCTGTACTGTACTGTGCATAGAAGGTTGACTGGAAACGATTAAGGCAATTATTTTTGGTGTGGTGATTAGATACTGTAGATGTCTTTTTCCAAGATTTTGCTTAGAAAATGATGAAACCTGGTTGATGTATCAAAGAAAGTGTCTTTAGTGGAGGATTTTTTTTTTCAAACTGGGTTGTTTGTGCTTACATTTGTTATTTAGAGGGAAAGAGAATGTCTTTGATATTGAACTGTTTGGTTTCCATTTTAACATTCAGTCTAGTGCAGTGGTTTTCAACCTGTGGTCTGCAGACCCCCGGGGCTCCGTAAACTGTCTAAAATTTCCAAAGGGGTCTGCACCTCCATTTGAAATTTTTTAGGGGTCTGCAAATGAATAAAAGTTTGAAAACCACTGATCTAGTGTAATACTTTTATTATATAAAATGATTTTAAGGCATAATCTGTCTCATTTCCATATCTTCCAGTTATTGTGTTGTATTACTAGCTATTGTACCTAGTAAAAGCCCCTCTTTTTCTGCATGCTCCCCAGAAACAGTACCACTGACCTCTACAACTTCTACAAATATTGGACTAAAGAATCCACAAATAATTGGTCAGAAAGATTAGCACATTAGTCAACTGGGGTTATAAATCAAGCTATATTCAGGGAGGTCAGTTCTTTTCAAGGCAAAAGAAATTAAGAGGTTATTCTTGTTTGAAAAGAAAATGTCAAATTTCTGATTAATGTCTTTATAAAAGAATGCATAACCTTCACGAATCATTATCTCAGTTAAAATCCATAATCTTAGGGCTTGTTTAAATTGCACAAACAGGTATTAAAACAGTTCTCCCTGAAATGTTCTCCAACCCACTACAGAACTGTGCTTGCTGTGAGATTAACTCTTTTAGGTAATGATCAAGGACAATTGACACATAGCTAACTTGCTGCCATAAACACTTAGATGAATACACTTTTCTTGCTAGGTTTTAAATTAATCTAATTCAAATGCAAGTCTTGCTGGACATTACTTAGTATTCAAATTCATTTATAAGTGTCTTGATATAGGGGGAAAATAATCTCTTGCTGTTGAAAATAATCTATGAATCTTTAAATGAAAGCAAATTATTTTCAGAAAACCATGTTGGTCCCAGCATATTAGAGAGCCATTGTCTCTCTAACAATGAGAGACAATAACACGGCTGCTACTCTGAAAATTGTCTCTCTAACGTTGCCTTTCTGTAATGCAGAAAGGCAACTTGCCCATAGCATGTGTAATTGCTAACTGTAGCACCTTCAGTGATGGCAAACATGGAAGGGACGTTGAAATTATTCATGATGTAAAAATCAGCAACATGATTTTTTCCCCAGGATTTCCACTAAATCTGACCTTTCATGGGATTTTTTGGTAGCAGTTCAATACTATGGAAATTTCTCTTTTTAAAACAGTTGCCACCTTCCCTCAATTTTCCTCCATATTTAAATTTGCTGCAAGCTTCCATTCCTCTATGTCTAGCCCTGTTTTAAATTAAAATATAAAAATAAAACCCTTATGAAGTGTGGCATTCCATTATCCCATCCTCTCCATCCTCAACAACTGACTTACTAGGTAGAGTTACCATCTAACTAGAGTTTAGCAGGAGAGTCTTGGGTATTTTTATGTATCTGTACCCTGACCTTCAAGGTTGTCTTATAGGACATTACAAAATGCTGAGTTTAATTTGGATATGGAGGGGAAAATACCTCTTTGAACACTACAAATCCCATAAGATTTTTTAGCCATAACATATTTGTCTAATATGTTAATTATTTTAAAAGGTTTCAAACAATTTGATTGAAGCAAATATAAATCATGCCATCCAGCCCTATCTGTGATTCCTCAGTCTACTAGTTCATGTCCTACGTATATATATAACCACAGTTTATGCACCTGCCCATTAGGCAGTTAGCACTCCCAAAGCTGCAGTTGGTATAGTCTCCTAAATTGCATCATGGGTAATGAAACAAAGCCTTGTAAAAGATGTTATTCTGGGCATACAGTTAGTGTTTATGATACATACATGCATGCATCTACAACATTCCTGTGACAATTCTGTTCAAGATAGAAACAGGTGCACATAGTGTGTCTTCTAAACTTCATAGTTAACTTGTTGTGTAATGTCTTTACGAACAATGTGATAACTGTCCGCTGGGTTGATTTACATTATTATAGCATGGCTATTTAATGGGATTTCTCCCTTCCAAATAGAAGTGCAACCCCATTGACATTTAATGTTCAAGTGAAAATTTAGGATGCTTCAAAAATGGGAAGCTATGGAATCTGTAGGGACAGTAGATAGTTACAGAAACTGATGGGATGTCAACTGTTTGGTAAGAGTCAGTAAGCCAAGTAGAGTAATAAATATGAGAATTCTGTAGAATATCTCCCTGTGTAAAATTCTAGTGCAGATGCATCACATTTTGTGGTCCTGTGTGAGATCAGTTTAGTAGTTCCAGGGTTTTTGTGAGGGTTTTCTTTTTCTTTTTTTCCCCCTTGCTCATCAGTAGTATTGTCTCAAAGATTCTCGCATAATTC